ACACGTGTGTGGAAGAACTGAAGCGGAGCATTGTGGAAGAATGTCGCGCGATATCGGTTGACGCATTGCAGAGGGTTATAGCCAACAGCATCCGGCGAACGCTGCTGTGCCAGCAAAACGGCGGTGGGCATTTCGAGCATCTACTGCGTTGATTGTTATACTTGTTTTACGTACTGCATTTCAATACATCTTTCGCATAACCATTGACTTCAGGACTAAATCGCTGCTATGGCTAATGGTGCCGATATTGCGTCAGTGTGAAGGGAATATTGTGGAAGCTGCCTGAAGAGAACAAGACGTTAACGTGAGCAGCGTACACGGAAGAAATCGTTGTACCTATAGATGGGCCTCAGCGCCGAAAGGTCTCGTTGGCCGACAGGGTTGGGGTGATTACACTGGCTAGATCGTAGATAAAGATACTATGGCATTCCACATAGCCCGTCAATGCGTCGATCAGAATTTCTTCCATAACTTTGGCGAACACCGGGAGAAGATTACCGGGCGGTTATTGGCAGGCTCGTACCGACTTGCTCCCTTGTGAATAGGATTGATGAAACCTAGTTTCCACTTCGACGGAGCTATGTTGCAGTCCAGTGACGGCTGAAATAATCTTGTTAGGTGCATGATTGCTATCTTTAGTGCTTTTGGGGTGCATATTGTCCACTCCAAGAGATCTGTGTGTACGCAAGGATAATGGCATTTTCAGTACCGTTTCCGCAGTGAATGTTACGCCGGATCAAACTGCTAGTTTGTGAACTTGTCTTCACGCACCAAGTGCACAGAGTCATTCGCCTGAGTTGCGTACACCGTCCAATTTTCTGAACTGCGATTGTTTCTATAACCATGCCAAGTCCGGTCCCTCAAGGCCATATATTTTCGTGTTCGGCTTCTCTGAAAAGATTTCGTTTTGACGGGAGGATGAAAAGCTTTCGGTTCTGATGCCTTCGCGACTAGGGATGTGAACGTGCCCACAAATTTGTCCCAAGCTGTTTCTGGAATACACGGACAGGGTGCGATTATGTGCAATTGATGGCATCTTCTTGGGCTTAGCTTAGACACAGCTCCTCGATCGTTTTTGTGCAATGACGCATACAATGCGATTTCATCGGCAGTCCTTCTCCACAAACACGTGCAGCGAGTAGTCTCTTAATTGGCATACACGGCAGCATGTAACGATCATTTCGATTGATATACACCTACGTTTTCCTGAGAGACTGAGCGATACTGTCAGCCTTTCATGTTACACCGTCACGGTCACTGTTAAACAAATTAGGCAGCGTGCACCCCACTTGGTTCCTGCAATTGCTATCAAGACTGTGACGGGAGTAGTCTGTCAACGACAGCATTTCCGGACTCATTTATGCATAAGTAGCATCTCATATTTTCACCGTCTAATGGTTACGAATTCTTATTTTGCTGAGGTGGTTTATGTGAAGGTAACATTCTGTCTACAACAGCGTTGTCACTAACCCTTTTATCATTTGCTGGGATAACATTAAGCAACTGTCGAAGCGCCACCAACATTTGAACACGGTAGCCAATGCATTATGCACTGCTGTCGAGATGTTGCAAACCACCAGTCAGAAACGTCGGCAGCGACCCAATCTGAACTGAGCGGTGTCAAAATCGCCGGGGGTAATTAACATATTTCGAGGACATGCACCGCTATGCGTCCTCACGTCGTATTCACCCCTAGACATGCGTGGGTGAGTAAATACAGTAGACTTACATGCCATTGGTGGGTCGGCAAATTAGTGCGCTCCAATCTCACCCTGACCTGCGTGGCTGATCTACCAGCGACTGAGCAATCGCAAGACTTTTATCAAACCCACGGTATATTTTATGATTTTGTTGCACCGCAGAAATTACGGTGAATCGCATGTGATCTGTATCTTATACAGACCCGGTTGCTTCTGAGCTGAACGGGTATTGTTGAAGTAAGTACGTAGTACGGTAACTTCCATTTGAATAGTACCGTAGGTAACTTCCCGGATTTGATTTGTTTTGGTCTGGGGAGTTTTTACTAGTTGCTCGAACCCCAAACGGTTATGTCGTTAACAATCTGGACCTCAGATAAATGGCGTTTCTACTTGCTGGGTCAGCGGTTGCACGTCGAAACGGATCACAAGTTGTTGTAATGGATTAAGCCTACCGAAGACTCCAGGAGAAAGCGGGCGCGATGAGCGCTGCGCCTTCAGGGACATGATTTCACGACAAACCCCCTGCCGGGCAAGGATAAGCAAGCTGAAGATCTTCTGTCATGCATGACGAGCGAGGATGATTTACCGAGCGTGACTTTCGGTATCAAGATTATACGGTTGTAGCAGGATCCGGGATAGTTGGCTTCCAAATGACATACTGACAAGCTCTCGAGCAGCGTGATCACTGCAAGAGCAAAGGCAAGCAGCTCGGACCGTTGGCGAGAAATTTGAAGAAGCTAGAAATAAAACGAAAATCCTGGTGTGGATGCCAGGACTTAATAACACTTTCGCGCTGGTGATTCCAATGACAATAGGGCGGAATCTGGTGAGTTCTTGCCACGAAATGGATCACACCGGTTGCGCTAGGACCAGCCACCTTCTGAAACAGTGCTCCTACTTGCCTGTTGGGAAATGGCCATATTTCCCAAAAATACACTAGAATCAAGCAAAACCATGGACATTTCGCTATCCACCACTATTGATGTTTAAACGGTGCAGGCTATCTGTTTCCGCTTTAAAACGAGCATGGTGATTGGCCTGTTCGAGAAGACCGTTGATTGACCTAAACCAACCACCAGTTTTCATCACTTTCTGGTCTGTCACGTGTTGGCTGTGGTCTTGTCATATCCTCCGGGGTTGGGGTTATTGACTGGTGCCGGACTTGTGTGGCATTTGTGATTCGGTGCCGTGATTTCTTTGTGAGTGTTCAGTTTTTCCGTGCGTCTTTGTGACGAACTGCGTTAGTGGTAGTAAAATCGCAACATTGTCGGGCACGAAGAATGTCGTCGAGAAATACGAGCTTCTGTGCAAGCAATGTCAACTCATAAAAAACCGACTGTCAAGAGGCACAACAACCAGCGCTGTCGATTCTGGTATTTGAAATAGGGGAGCTATGGTCTATCGACGTGACGGGACCGTTTCCATTAATCAGGCGGTGCAACCAATACATACTGTTAATGAGTGAGCATTTCATGCACTGGATTGAAGCAACGGGTATCTCGGATCAACAAGGGAGTACTATAACCCATGCCGTCATGAAACAGCTGGTAATGGATCACGGAATCCCTAAAGCCATATAAACAGACTGGAGTCCGTGCTTCGAAGGTGAGGAATTCTAGAAATGTTTACAGAAACTTGGTATCAAGTAAGTGCGCACAACTCACTAACATCAGCAGACAAATGGCTTGACAGAGCGGAATAAGAGAGCGATTAAATAGTGGCTAAGGGTGGAGACTGGGAGGAAGCTTTGCCACTGCCATTGCAGAGCCATTGAGTACCCATAAAGAAATCACCGTCCCACTTGATGTAGAGTCGAGCACCTCGATTAGCTGTAGATCTAGCAATTGAAATGTGTCAGACCAGCCGAATACCTCTAAATGACGTAGAGGAGAGCAGTAGGGAAGCTAAAGGCAACATGAAACCTACTCAAGTGCGAAAGACGAATTCCAAGACTAAACAATGATAAACCGGAGGGAGTGAGCTTCCAATCGATTCAAAAGGGAAATACAGGGATCATCAACGAGCACATAGATGTGGCCTAGGCGAAACTTTTACCGAAATGGAAGGGACCGTTTAAGGTAGTCAACCGAAGAGGCTCAGTGTACACAACCGTTAGGCAGGGAGATTCGCGGCGACTACATGCTCGTTAACTGAGGAAGTGGCATAAATTGGAAGAGGGTAAACTTCATACAGTGAGTAAACCCGAAGATCAAAAAGACTCCAGGAAAAGGCTGCAGGGACGAGCATTTTTGAGGAGTGTGGTGGAACAAAGGCAGGTACTACTGCGTCGTGTTAGTAGCATAGAGATGCCAAGAAAAGCAAACAGTAACGGGTCAACAGCGGAGCATACTAACGCCCCGACAGAAAAGTCGCTTGGGAACAGCGGATGTATGAGATCAAGGAATAGACACAGAGGCAGTGCGCGCCACGCAACCTCCAGTCGAAAGCGCATAGATGAGTTGAGGTTTTGTTGGTCAGCAATGATGCGTGCGAATCATGATGTTTGCCACCATAAACGACTCGGTTCGCACCTTGGGTTCTTACAAAAGCATCTACGGCTTGCTGACAACAAACGACTGACTCCGAGTGAGTATCGGTTTTTTTACCTTGCTAGCTAAAGGCCATCTGGCGTTAGGCAAGCAGTACCAGTTTATCACACGAAGGACGTGACCTGCTGTCACAGAAAACAACTCGTGGTGTGTACACTTGGCCGATCGGATGCAGTGTAAAAACGTTAATCTTTATGGTAGTTTTTACTGAATACGAATATTAACCTTCCATAAAATTTCAGGAGCAAGGGCTTGTTTGTCATCTGACCTTGGTTAAATCTGATTTGAGTAGCTGGTAAAATATGTAGAAAGTGTCATCCGGCATAGCTCAATAGGGTTACCGGGGCTCACAAACCTTTGACAGGTAATAGCAGTAAAAATCTAAAGATTAAAGTGATTTCGCAGGCATGCCAGTAACATGATCGGTTAACATGCGGTGAAAAAGTGAGTCTGTGTTGACCAGTGTGTAAAATCAGCCGTTTAGTAATTGTTGGAAGTTGGGACGAATACCATGCAGTGGAGATTTGCGGTAACCGGGTGAGGAAACGCAAACAGACAAAGCAGTTCCGCGAAGTTAGGGAAGGTGAATTAAATGGCTGGAGGTATGAATGATAAAATCTGTACCACAAACGCTCAGCTTTGCGGCCAGCGCTGATCGAACCAATGTGCTTCGGAGGCTCTAAATGAATAAAAAACAACCGGTGAAATCTAGAAGCAAGTGATTATTCCATATTATACATGGAGAGCTTACCGCCGGGCTACCTGAATTACAAATGGAGGGCTCGTTTTCCCCGTGCTGCCAACTCTCCACGTTCAATCCTAATCGCAGGTAGGGTGCAATAACGTCCGCATAAAGATCTGAAGAAAGAAAGTATACGCATATGAGCATGGGAAAAAAGTAGCAATGCATCAGAAGATTGGCGTAAACGCTATCCGGATAGAAGGTCGCCACATAGAGATACCATGGCCCAATGCATCAATGCGAACGTCTGTTCCACACACTGGATAAATTACTCGATGTGGGAAAGAATTGAAAAGCTGACAAACGTCCGACCAACCGAGTATATACCTGGATTAGATTGAGCCCCTTACTCCCCTAAAGACCTGCTCGCACCACCACAGACGAGTGGAAGGTGGAAAAATGAAGCATCTGGATACCATAACTAATATGGGAAGAGTGGAACTGCAAGCAAACGAAACGAGGCTACTTCGGGGTCGATGAACGCCGAAAAGACAATGGTAGCGCTTCCTGCAATTGTGCGCGGACCACAACCTTTATGTAAGCAACACTACTTTCAAGCACCAACGTCCACATCGCCTCACCTGGCGCCCAATGAGTTCCTGCATGACCTGAAACCATATTGAACATATTGGAATCAGTAACAGAAGGCGCATATCAGTCCAGGACTGTAAGTAAAGTTGGAGCGCGCGCCTGAATTCCGACCATGCTCTAGTGCGCGCACGCTTAGCGCTCACTCTTCTCACTTCGAAGGAGCGCATATCTTCTAACCTTCCTACTTGCAGTTTGAACTCACTAACTACAGTTCAACAGTAGCAAGATGAACTACCTCGCCAATTGTCAGTGATGAATGAGGTTGGTGAGCTGAACGTTCAATTGGATCGGCGCATAAAGAATGCCATAATGAATGCCTTTGACGTCTGTTATGTGCCCAACTTGAGATCTCGCAACTGTGATTGACTCACTGATTGAAGCACGAAAACGTTCCAATGTGTGCTGAGTTCTAGTGTATCCGTAAAGCTATGAAATGACGGATGATAAGCAGTTTTCGAATAAACCGGAGATGTAAGTGGGTGGCAAAGGCCCGTGAGATGGAAAGACATTGATCCGAGAAAGTCATCAGTTACTGAGACCAAAGCTAATAAAGATGGATAGTTGATCCGTTCTCATCCTCGTCGACTAGCGCGTTAGCTGAAACATTTTGAAAAACAGTTCTGCAGGCATGCTGCGACATTGCCGCTTACCGAGTCACATGAGTTGAAGGGGGAATTAGACGTTACACCTGCTACTTTGCAAGAGATGACATGAGCCCACTATGTTGGAAGGAAACAAGGTTTGTGGACCAGATGATCTTCGTCCATCTTTGCTGAGAGACGGAGGACAGACTTGGTTGCCTGGACATGGTACTCCATGTAACACAAGTTGAGCCACTAAGGCCAGAAACTGTAAACCGTGGTGCCTATCTTCAAAAAAGGGTCAGAGTACTTTGTGCAAAAATCACCGGGGCATTAGCCTTATTGCTATTAATTCCAAACTTCTCACGGGTATCATTCTTCGACGATTTACTGATCCCCGTAAAAACCGATTCATTGAAAGTCAGGCTGAGCTCCGCACTGGTCGTGATTGCATTGACCACATATTTACTCGCCGATACACTTACAGAACACCGAATATGGCTGTTTTCCTAGATATGAAAACAGATTATGAGTCCGTTGACCGTACCGGCGTGTCGGCTAAATTCCCTTCCATTCTGAAGTCTCTACCGTGATTCTCGAGGCTGTGTACGGGTCTACGGGAAACTGTGGCTTGAGTTCCCCCCAAGAAGTGGGGTTCGCCAGAGTTGTCCTATATCTCTTTTCCTCTTCAACTTTATGATAGAAATGATCATAAGTGACTCGATTCTGTCTTACTCTACTGGAGTAGAAGTTCTGGCAGGTGACCGCCTGACAAGCATTGAGTATGCGAAGGATACAGTTCTCTTTAAATCTGAAACAGTGGCCATGTAAACACTGCTGGATAGACTGACGCGTAGCGTCGCACGTCTCGGCGTGCGCAAAGCACTGCTGCAGGACTGGATCGACAGACCACCGGTATTAGATATAACCGAACAGCCAGTGGATATGGTGGATCGGTTCACTTACCTTGGTAGCTGTCACCTGTGATGGTTAGATTACTTAGGGGGTTAGTATTCGCCTCGGCAATCTCAGTGTGGCTGTCCAGAAGCTCAACTATTTATGGAGATGGCAAAACATCAGCGTTAATGAAAGGTAGGGTGTACAACAATGCGAGGTCAGTCTTACTATATGGATCAGAGATAGGGCTAGTTCGCGGCGAAGACATTAAACGCTCGGCGATGTTTGACCACCGATGCTTGCGGAGTATTGTCCACGGCTAGTGGAAACACCGGGTGAGCAATGCTGAGGTCCGCCAGTTGGTTTTTGGCAAGTAACCTTCTGTTACCTCACTCGAGTGTTTGCTGTATCTTAATCGCTCATGTTGGCTAGAACATGTCCTTCGTATGCCCATTGGCCGGCTTCCTCAGCGTGCATTATACGCCGTGGTTGCACCAAACTGGGCGAAACCGGGAGTTCGCCAGTCTATGACGTGGCACAGAGGTTTGAAGAAATTGACAGGGACTTAGTCAGGCTGGTGCATGCCGTCTTCGTGGATGGGGAGCCGGGGATGATCGACACTAATGTTTGTAGATTCTTTCAGACAAGGCTCATTCACGCAGTCAGTGGTGTACCTGCATTTATTTTCTTGCAACTAACTGGTTATATTTATTCCATCCTGATTAATTTAAAGCAGTTCTTTCTTGATTCCCTTTTCTTTGGACTTAACCACATTTTCTTGTCATTGTTATTTATTGTTATTCAGGCGATGTGAGTCATGGCAACTATGTCCGACGAACTTCGGTGTGTGAATCTTTTTTTCAACTGTAATGAACTGAACTGCTTAGAGGCCGGCGTCCTCGCGGTACACTCAGCCCACGCGCAACTGGTGGTGGTTGCGCGACCGTGAAGAACCATTACGGCATACAACTGACATATCATTATCATCTTAGTTGTCAAAGGAAAGAACATGCAGCCCCGAAGGTGGACTGAGAGGATACGAAGGTCCGTGATCTGAACACAGTTGGATTCTAGGTGGACGTCGAATATCAATTTTCGTGGGGGAAGTGTTAAGGGAGCCTGCTGATAAAAGCCATTCAAACCTGATTCCATTCCGGTAGACTCCGCGGAACCAAGGACCAAACCGGCTCGGAACTTACTGGTCAGCAGCTAGCTAATGGTAGCGGCTCTTCCGTAGAAGTCGGTCAATGGCAACACTTCTGGCTTGAAGTCAGCCAACAACAGCGTTTTCCTGCATATAGTATTTTCTGATAGATCGGAATCTCTATCCAAATCACTTTGCATAAACTATCAAATCAGATTCACTTTCACGGTTTGAATGCTGTATATTCTGATGCTCGGATGACAGTTTTAATGAGACCTATGTCTTCTGACTTGAGAATTGGCTGGACTTGGATTTGAGAGCTGTATGAGATATCGTCATGGCATTAGTAACACATCATCATCAACGACAGTAGTACATTAGCCATCTGGACCGATGCTTCGCTATCACACATCCACGATGACCTGAGTAAGGAACAGGGACCTAACATAAAACCATAGTACCCGAAAGAAACATTCAGGGTAAAGGCGCGCACATCTTGTCCACAATATATTGTCACAAACAGTTAGTTATCGTACAAAGATAAGGCAGCAACGGCGATACAAGTTTCTAGCGGGTTTCCCGGCCCCGCGTCATAATCAGCCATCACGTCACAACTTACTCAGTGCTATTCGATGTGCTAAGGAAATAGCATGATTATCACCGCTTAGTACTCGTCTACTCACATCATCGTTGTGGACACGCTGGTGCCATCCGACACCAGCAATGCTCCGCAAACAGTGATGATCAGAGACTTGAAGGTTCCTCAGATCCACAGACCAAGGGAGCAGTTTCTTTTCCATACAGTAGGACGGCCCTCATTGTGGCCTTGTAAACACGGCCTTTCAGACCGAGGGGAACCATTTTTTGATACCACAGATTCAATAAGATAATTTTAGCTTTTCCAATATGAGAACTGACTTCAGTTGCTTTAGCCAATCGTTGCTGACGCAGCTGCTAAGTAACTTGATCAACTACCCTGAGTTCCTCGCCATCAAGGGTCAACGCGTCATCAAGTGGCTAGTGGTCCTGAAACAACACTGCCCTTTGAAAGTGCGAAGCGCACGCCAAATGATGATACCACTCTAAAGAGTTTATTCAGGACTGACTGGGCAATCCTAACACCGTTAAATAGCAAGACAATATCGGCCGCATAATCAAGATCAACTAGCTGTCCACCAATCAGCAGTTGAATGCCTGTATGGTGTAATTCCACAAGGGGATACTCCATTATGGAGTAAACGGCGAAATTAAACAAAAATGAGATAATTAAGTGAGGTTCTTTGCAGCCAGTTTCCAAATTAGATAGTCGTCCACATGCCCGGAAAAGCACTAGACTGCAGTTTCAGCCTGTTGGGCATGTGGACGACTATCTGATTTGGAAACTGGCTGCGAAGAACCTCACTTAATTACATCAAAATCCCCTAATCATAAGTACATCAAAATATATCCGCCCTAACAGTTTCTAAATGCTATGTCGTACATAGCTACTGTTAGTGGACGTCGTATCTTTCGGGGCAAACCCTGTCCACCGCAACGTTCGTAACTTGTATGGTAGTGGAGGATAAGACGCGCAATATTGCAACTGGCTTGTAAACTATGACGGTACGAAGCTGTCCCCCATGGCCCAGTGGCATAAGCTGCTGACTGGCGGTTCAAGCCGCTGGTGGTCATGGGTTCGAATCCTGATGGATCCGATGGATGCGCACTACTGACGATGCGCAACAGGCTGAAACTGTAGTCTAGTGCTTTTCCAGGCATGTGGACGACTATCTAATTTGGAAACTGGCTGCGAAGAAACTCACTTAATTACATCAAAATCCCCTCTCATAAGTACATCAAAAATGAGACAGTTGGACAACGCTGACGAACGCCATTTGTAGTCACGACGATATCCGGCAGGTCAGCGAAGACCGTATTGCGCCGCAATACAAAAAGATAACATATATGAAAAAGCGAAATAGTAAACAGTATAGAATACAAAACCAGGTAACAAACTGCAAAGTAACATATTATGCTTCCAGACAGAGATCATGGTTGGAGGGGAAGATAAGCAGGATGGGAGGGAACAAAGAAACTCACAACACGAACGCCACTGAGGTCGGTTGTCTGCCATGTCAACTAGCGTATCCAAACACACGAGTGGATAGTCCTTCGGTGCGCAGCCCGGAAGTCGAGAGACACCAACCGATGCCAAGTTCGGCGCCCAAAGTGTCTAAAGGCGGTGCTGCTAAAACACGTCGGTGCTCCGCGTGCAGTCGCAACAGACGCTCGCCATTGTCCGTCCGTTCGCAGTTTAGACCATAAGAACCACTTATCCAGGCTTCTGAAAAACTCAGATGACCTACTTGCGGACTCAACAAAAATGATATCTGAACTGGCAAATTTCGAAGCAGCGTGTTTAGTTCATGGCAGGTGTCCTTGACAGCAACAAGACAGCAATCGGTGGGGGCATAAGCGAAAACCACAAACAAACCGTCTAGTACTACTTCGTGAATCAACATTACTTGATTTTGCCAAAGGGGCTGTACACAAAAGACTTCTCAAGGGGATTCAATCAAGCAACGGCGGCTCAGTCTTGGAGGCGGGAATGATGTCCACCATAGCTAGATCAGTGATTGTCGCATTAGTGTCTCCGGATGCGTGCAAACAATAGCGAGAGGACAAGCGGGGCGCAATTAATTCAACAATCCCAATAGAGCGAATAATCCTAGTTTCGGGCAAACAAAACATGTCAACACTCAGTGTATTTAACGTTCGTGTGAGTGCAGCCTGCTAGTCCTTTTATCCTAGAGTGCGAATGTTGAAGGCCGCCAATGAAACGGGACAGTGTGGCCTTATAAGGGGCCGCTGCTGATAGGCTTCCAGTGTGAGATGCGGAAAGATAGCTGAAGATGGTCGAACTCCAGTGCCATTGCGGTTGCTGTCAATTAAAGGGAATTATTGAAGGAAGGTTAGAAATGGGAGTTGGGAGGGGAGTAATAGAAAGAGGTGAAAAAGAAAGAAGGGAGACGCCAGCAGTAGCATGTTCTCGCTTACCCGCCCCCGCGACCCTTGATAAGCTGCGCGACGGCCGACGTACGATGAGACTGGAGTTTGAGGAGATAGCCATGGTTGTAAGTGGGCTGAGATACTGTCGGGGCGCCCAAACCTATACAGGAAAACGATTACAGCTCACATACAAAGTCTTCGGCTCAAAAGCCTGCCTGCAAGGCAGCGGGGAGGTGGAAATGATGTGGTCTTGCAGAAACGGACGCGATCCCATTTCCAGCCCCCAACCTAGAGGACGAGAGGTTTGGGTTTGCCTGACCGCTATCCATTGAACAACTTGGTATAAGTAGCTCCCATGAGGCCCAGACGCACCACACAGTATAGCTCACCGGGTCGAAGAGGTACGCAAACCGTTGTGATGGTCGTACACAACACTGATATCGTCTGGTCCACTGTGGGCTGAATCTTACTCGGTAATGTGTCAGCTTATACGCCGTAACGGCGCTTCGCTGCCGCGCGACCACCACCAGTCGCGCGCGGGCTGAGTATACCGCGAGGACGCCCACACCTACGCGGATTCGAACCGGTGACCTTATGGTTGGAAAGCAAACGTGCCAACCACTCGGCCACCGGCCGGTAAGTGTTTGTGGTGCCGAAACAGCAACAAACGGATTTGAGATAGATGAATGGAGCTGTAAAGTCAAATCACACGTAAGCAGTCCCATGAAGAATCGTGGCTTTTCAAATGGCGACCAATTATGAGAGCTGCAAACAATCCAGTGATAGCACATGGAAAGCTTTATAAAAACCTGATCGTGTTTCCGTTTCATTCATGAAATATAATGAAATGTTTAATTCAATGTAAGTGAAACGACGAATATTCGATTAAACTTCGGATCGTGGTGTAGAAACTAGGATAGAACTGTTCCAATAGCTGTTAGTAATGTTAATTTGTGATCCGGTGTTTGATGTCACAAAAAGTACGAAGAGACTCGAACGGAGTGAATAGTCGTAACAACAATGGTACCGGTCAGTCAGAAATTTTGATGACGACCAACCTTTATGACAGGCCGAGGATTTGGAAAAATGTCGCATCGTCAAACTTCCATGCAATGAGTAGAAAGGTTCCGTTTCCGAAATGTTTACGGTTAAGGACACATTTCTAAATAATAGTGGAATCTGGGGATAGCGTGCTGCGAGCTCTGGCGAAATATAAGAGTCTTGAATCCAAGGTCTCGATACAGCCAGCTGAGTGACTAAGGATGGGAAAGGAAAAAAAACGAGGTTAGCCACGCATTGAAACAGGTGAAAAGAAAGTGATGTGAACATCGAAAATGACTGGCTGAAACGTTTAGCAACTCGTGCTCGATGACGTACCCAAGGAGGTAAGGAAGGAGTTGTTTAGCGACACGCAGAAAAAGTGCTGCCCATATACAAACCCTGTAAACGGATAAACATATCGACCTTTTTCTTCGGACAATTTGGGAACACTGTGTATGATCCAGAATCCGGTACCCGATTTATCAAATGCAAAGGCGCCTGTAGGAGGAAAATGGGAGGAAAATGAAGCTTGTACCCTTCATGTGGCCCCACCAGTAGTAGTGCGACATGGTTGGTGAATCGGACTTCTCGTCATTATATAAGCCAAACAATGCACTAGTCTCGTTCACGAGTTTATACATGGCCTCGTAAGTTTTGTACAACATTCCTCCCGTGCTAATGTTATGAGAAGAGTTCCTCCATGACTGCACACCAGGCGAAATGAACGCATAGCGGAAACTCCGCGGAAACTTATAACCTATAAACCTAAAGGATAATAGAAAGAAAAGAAATTACCAGTCAATTTCATTCCCTTCATCGTCTAGGCACGAGATGGACGCCGATATCCAAAAACGTAGAAAAAGAAGGGGAACCACGGAGAGTGTTCCCATTGTGAAGAAACAGATATCGAATGAAAATATCTATGCACTTCGATGTAAGCGACTAACCGTGTAGAATAAAGCAGGCCGACCGTTGGACAGCCTAGGGTCAAACAGGTAAAAGAAGTGATTAGTAGGAGAAGAACTAAGGAACATGAGGTAAGATGAGTTTAGATTGGATATCAAGTGGAACTGGGGAAAAAGAAAACCAATGAACGTTCTTACCTGAGTGGGTTGTCAGCATGTAAGTTTAAGTTCAAGTGGGACTGGGTCGCAGAATGAGGAATCGACGAAGGACTTTGAAACACAAATGGACCTAAAACAAAGACCAAATCACACCCTGTCCAACCAAACGTTGCCCGCATATCCTGCCCTAACAGTCCTTGCTGGGTCGGTTACATGGAGTAAGAAAGAGGAAACAGTAAAAGCAAAGGGCAAGAAGGAAAAGAGAGCTAAACAAGTAGAATGCTAAGAGATTTGAATCGTTAAAAAAAAGAACTGAAGACTGAAGATGAGTTAGTTGTGAAAAAGGAAAGGTTTGAAGTTGCCACCAAAAGTATCGAGCTGACGCGCAAAACTCTTAACCGTAGATTCCCTAATCACATGATCTGAAAGCGAATTCCAGCGATCTATAACGGCACGACAGACGAGTTTCCGCCCTAATCCAATCAGGCCCCAGTTTGTGCAGCCTCAATGGGTGACCGCGGAGATTAGATAACTTAGCAGGACTAAATAGCACTGACAAGTCCGGACCGACCCTGCCCGTCAAAACCCGGTAAGTGAGAATCAAATCTCCTCTTATCCTTCGGTAGTGCATTGAGTACATCCCCAAACTAAACAAGCGTTCGGGATACGTCTGTCCCCGTAGACCTTGCACTAACCTAGTACCAACTCGTAACACCTTCTCCAAGTCCATTTTGTCTTGGATAACACATGGTGGACAAGCCAGGATACAATATTCCAAATGGGAGCGCACGAATGTCGAAAATAGGACCAACAACATACTGTATGTTAGCAATTCGAAAGAACGACGAATACACATCATACGGAACCATCTACAAGCAGCCTTCTTCCAATTGTCGACAGAGTGAAGAGCTGATGAGTGGACGACACTTAGACCAACCTGCTGAGTAACAACAGGCATTTCACCACCACCGATAACATATCGGGTGGGAGGATTAGCAGCCACGATTCAGATAACGGAACAGTTGGCCCGATTTATGGGCATTAACCATAAGGCAGACCATTCCAAGACTATCCAAGATAAATTGAATTGACTCAGGAACCTCCGGGATATCCACGACACTCCAGAACTTAAGGTCCGCAGTAAACGGTAGTGACGACAATCTTAGCTCGCCCGGTAAGTCATTTACATAGAGCGCGAACAACAACAGTCCAATAACGAGGCTTGTGGGACGCCAATATGAACAGCTTGCCAAAACGAGTTACGCCCCACGCATACAAACTTCTCCCTCGCCTCCAGGAAAACAGACAATCATTTAAAGGGCGCGACCAGATATTCCGTAAGATCTCAAGCTGAGTGAGAGTATAAGATGAGGGACAGTGTCAAAACCTTTCGAAAGATCTACGAATAGCACGTCTATAGCGGGGCCGCTGTCTACCGCTTCGGCCCACTTTTCACGAGCCATAAGTAGATTAGACTGAGAAGAAAATTCCTTGCGGAATCCGTGTTGTGCGGCACGGAGAAGCTTAGGTTTGTTCAGGTGGTTCTCCACCGAATCGCTTAACAGCTTCTCGAACAACTTGACTACTACACTTGTCAAACTGACCGGTCGGGCAGATTACAGTCACCGCTAGTAAAGATCAGACGGATGATTGCTTCCTTCCATTCCGAAGGTAAGACACAGCTGGCAAGCGATTTTAAAAACACACATATGAGAGGACCGCTCAGTTCAGCGGCCAATTTGTGTAACAGCTTCGGATGAAGTGTATCAGGACCGGAAGCCTAAGAGAGATTTGTCCTGCAATAACTCGAAAGCCTGAGTCTCTGTTATGTTAAGCTCAGCCAAGCAAGAATCCTCTGGTACCCTTGAAACCAATTCAACACGAGCAAAGAGCCCAGTATACTGTTCACCAAGCATACAAGTCTTATCATAGTCGGTTTGCGCACGGGTCCCGTCGGCTAGCAATAACACTGGTATAGACAATTTTGCCCCGCTGCGTCTTTTTAAGTAAGCAAAGAACTTTTGGAATTAGCTGCGGCCGAGTCACAAATACGTATTGGAGACGAGCAGAGATGTTGCTTAGATTTATTTCTAACCTCTCGATAACTGTCGTAGGTATTGGCCGCTGGAGGTGCTTGGTAGGTTCGCCATCATCTAGACCGTTTCTTGAGTAGGTAATTGCCTGTGGAATCTATCCAAGTAGACTGTGCACGTAACCATCATTTCCTCATGAGTAGAATGTAGGGAGCCTTGAATTTACCATAGGCTAACGGCACAGAGTCGGCCATCGAGATCTCACAGTTCAGAAGTGAAGCCTTAGCTCGTATTGCACTCAAGTCCACCCGCCAAATATTTGGAAGTAATTCAACAGCGGTCTCTTGGTGCCTTGAAAAAGTATAGCAAAATTATATACATACGTGGTCGCTGGACCCTAGAGGTGTACCGTACGAAATATCAGTCACGAAGTCGAGGGACTTAGAGAAAACCAGATTTAAAGTAGATGGTAATTAGTTGGCCATATACCTAGGGGGGAAGTCCACGGACGGGTGAAATGGCAGTTGGAGAGACAGTTCAAGAAAATATGCGCTGAATGTTGCTGGCGCAGAACTGCACGAAAGACTGGGCCAACAGACTTCCAGGAGGTGGAAATCACGTAGAAGTAAACACCTATTTGCAGTCTGAGTGTGAATAAAGTCACTAATCCCTATAGATGAACTTCCGGGACTCCTGTATACTACTACAACTGTAAACTTGGCAAAGGAAGCGCACATAACAGCCGGTATAGGTTCCACAGTCTGATCCGACGACTGAAAAGTGCAGTTCCGCAACATATCTAATTTACAGTTCGCATAAAGTGCAACGCTTCCGCCTTGACGACCAACGGAGCGACCAGTTCTAAGCAGTGCACGGCCAGGTGAATGTACCTCACCATCTGTGATATCCGGAGACAACCACATTTCAGTGAAAGCAAGTATGTCGGGACGAGATTCGTGTACAAGTAGACCCAACTCGTGCAGTTTATACCTTAGGGTACGCAAACTGCTAAGTACTATCAGAAGGAACTCAGGACGACCAACCATGTGTCGTGCGCGATCAGGATGGGTTCTGATAGAGCGGAAAATACCTTCCAGCTGACCAGCTAATAACCCACAAGGTAAAGGCCTTGCACGCCAGCCACCTGTTCATATTTTGTGGTATCTGATGGCCTCCTTCAACTTCAGTCCATCTGTCAGCGGAAAGTCTGGCTGAACGCTGACACCACTACCCTTAAGTTTGAATGCAAAGCGCGGAAATGATTTGCGTCCCTCTGGGGTAGAAATGATCACGCAAAGTAGACGGGGTCGCGGATTTGCAGTTCCGATAGGGACGTTTCCCAATCTGTTCAGCTGCCTGACAGTGACACCAGCGAAGCCAGAGGGAAGCAGCTTGGTGACGCACAGTTTGAGGCATTTGATGTCATCCAAAATGCGTACCCTGGGGAGAGCAGCCGCAGATTAAGTAACGTTACGGAATATGTTACCATCCGTGAAAGAGTCGGCATGACGGTGTATGTTTACCCCACGTGTCTTTGATTCAACACTTACACCAGGTGGCTTCATAACTGACGATGGGATTGTCCTTATCCTCTCAGACAACGTTGAAGAAATTGGTGGCGTATGTTTTCCGCTCTATACTCGGTGTCTTACTTGTTCTGGGTCTTGGAGCTTGCCCGAAACTTTAAGGGCACTTTTAGTCCGCTTCTTCTGTCTAATGGGAGCAGAGGCCGTTGACTTTGTGTCGTATCGTGCGGTGACTACTAAGTAGTCGGAACGGGCCTCTTCGGTGGCAGCCGAGATAGTCAGCATCTTTAACTAACAAGTAGCACGTATCGGAATTTTCACCTTTGTATAACCGTCAAACGACTTCAGGATTGATGAAACCTGTATCTTTTGCGATGCCGAGACAATTGAGTCTCTGAGTTTAGCAAAGGTCTTATAGAATTTCCTCGCCCTATTTTGCTTCACTCTAACAGACTCATGAGTAGAGTCAATAAGGAAATCAAAAGCGTCTAAACCAGTTACCCCCATGTTACCTGGAGTGCCGTCGATCCGTTTCGCCTTCCAGGCTGGAGTCCACATGACTCACAATGTGTTTGGCCCGAGACTTTACAGAACATGGCTCGCAACCCACACCAGTGGTGCGTCAGTTGTCGTCTCCTATTCGGATTGCATGTTTAAAGTGTGTTTGGCGTTGAGTTATCTGCGAGGTAATGTATGATTATGACGCGGGGCAGTGAAAGCCACAAGGAAGCTGTCTCGCCGATGCCGCCTTAACTTTGCACGATAGCAAGTTGTTTGTGACGTCACGTTGTCTACACGAGGTGTAGGCGCTTTGACCCTGAAAGTTTGCCTAGGGCATTAAGGTTTTCCGTTAAGTTCCCCTTCTCTCTCTCTCTTATTATTCTTCATTCCATAGGTCATCATCGTTGTATGGCAGCGAAGCATCAGTCCAAATGGCTGATGTACTGCTGTTGTTGATGGTGTTATCTGGAGTGTCTAGTAAGATATGCGACTCTCCGATTGACAGACATCAGCGACTAAGTCGACAACAGTGGTGCAGTCTGCTGCAGCGTCCTCACTCGCAACATTCAGGGATTTCAAAAGCAAATCCACTTGGGTGTTGATCGAGGCAAGAGAGGCGAGCTCGGCTAACGCGTTCTCAACATCTACCAATCTCATTCGACCTTACTGTACGGTTGCGAAACCTGGCCCCTAAAATCGGCGGACATGAAGAGGTCAGTTACGTTCGAACATCGGTGTCTTCGTAGTTTGGCTCACATTTGGTGGGAACACCGCGTGGGTAACCAGCGTGTTCGACGCCTTGTTTAGGGCACAGGAAAACGAAATGAACCGCTCAAGCACCGTAATTTCACTCATCAG